AAAACATAATTAAAAATAATTAACAATACTGAAAAGTTAAGAATATATACTTTTACAAAATAATATAAAATGAGCAAACAATTTATATGAAATAAAAGCACAGGGGGGTGGTGGCCAATTAAAGCATGAATATAATGAATGTATGCTAGATGATTTAAGTTTATTGCAGTGTTTAACACACAAATAGTGTTTAATACATTCATTATATTCATGCATTACTTATAGTTTATAATATAACTCATAATATTATTTATATATTTGTATTTATAGATAGCTCTTTCTTAAAGAAAGGCTATCAATTTGATAATAAAAATGATATTGGAGTTCACTTATGTATAATATATAAAATGTGTTTTCCTTAAGGAGATTTTGTGTGACATAAAATAAATAATATTTAATTTACAATTTATAAATATTAATTATTTTCAAGATAATAATATTGACACACAATTTATTAATCATACTGTATATAATATAAATTTTGTATAATAACTCACCAAAATATAAAATAATAATAAAGTTAATTCTCTCAATGTGATATTTGATAAATTTTCAATATACTGTAGCGTTAGACACTTATACAGAATTAACTTAAATTTGTAATATTTTAGATTTGCTCATAATATTAAAAATTACATTTTAAAAATAATGTCGTACAATGAAAGCTATATCCATTGTAGATATCAATATCCAATTAATGTACAAACAATTATTATACTAATTTTTATACAATTAAAAAATAAATTATTAACAAATAAGTACTAAATCTAAAAATCCTAACTTATCAAACAGACTGCAATTATTAAATTTCCCTTTTAAATTATATAACAGAATTAGATTATTTTGTTGCTGGTTCATTGAGATACATTGACTAAATATTTTATTTTTATTGTTTTATATAACACTTACGACAATATATTAGAATAATATTAAAATCTAATAATTATATGATTGTTTGCAAGGTAAATAACATTTTACATATAAACATATAATTTGTAGTTGATATACGCAAATAAAAAATTCATTAAAATTAATTTTTAGATAATATTGTAACTATTATAGATTTATATAAATACTATTTATACTTATATAAACTGTTATTTATTATAATATATCAACATTTTAATTATAAACTTTAAATAATTATGTGGGATTTGTAATCACGATCTTTTTTATTTTTATTAAATTTTAGTAAGACATTTATTTGTAGTTTATTAAATTAAATATTAATAATTAAAATCGATGTAGTAACACACAAACTTCTTAACTATATAAATTGTTTTTAATTTAATTTTATAATAGTTGTTTTGCCAGAAATCACCAAGAACCTTTTAAATTTTTGCTAAAATATACATTATTTATGGGCACCCACACACTTAAACTTTTAATTAATTTGCAGTATTAATAAATATTTAAACACAATTGCAGCACTTATTAATTAATAGCTCCAGCACAAATACAAATAGCGTCCACCCCTACCAGCATTAATATCACCAGTACTACCGCAACCTTGCTTATCCTCCGATAGCCATACAGTAGTGATTTTGTTGGGCCCGTTATACTCGGCTATAAGATACCGGTACTGACCGCCGGCACCTATAGCCAGGTCTCTATGATGGACATCATTTGCATCGTAGAGGCGTTCACCGGATATCATAATATGAAAACCTGTGGCGGCTTTCCGTTTATTTGTGGTGTACTCCGGGCGTAGCCATACATACTCCCCCTTAAATCCCTTGTTAATATCCTGAGGTAGGCAACCCTGGTTATTGTATTGGCCAATGTTCACCCCGATACTTTTCACAAACATTTTTCTATAGGATGAGATGCTATAATAATTTAATTTATTTTAATTATTAAATTGTAAACTTACTTTAATGTGCAAGTTGGTGCTAATATTTTAGGTAGTTTAACTTAATGTTAACTCAATTTACAAAAATACTATTTAAAATAAAATTCAATTATGAGTTTTATTTAATAATATAATAGTATCGCACTTTTGTATATACTAGGCAAACTTTATTATACAATATTAGATAATTTCTATGGATTTTAATAATATATAATAAAATATCTTGTTATCTCTTATGTACATTGGAGTTAACTGTATTCATCTGTCATAGACTAACATGGCATTTTAATATTTATATTTTATCAAATAAACTTTGTCATTTTTTATTGTTACATTTTTATAAATTAAAACTGTAAATAATAGCGTTAATAGTATTATATTTTAAACAAAAGTCCTTTTAGAGTATTTGAATTATGGTCCATGCACTTTACAAGACTTTTTGTTTGCATTCACAGTTAAATTTTAGAAATTAATGTATAAATAAATGTAATCATTGCATAAACCTATGATACCCATACACACCCAGGGACCATTTCTAAACTAAACTATTAGTTTTTAAAATTTAATATTACACGCTTAAAAAGTGTGTGATCATTTTATTGTTTAAATTTATTTCCATTTGATAAATACACTATTTAACAATAATAATTTAAATCATATTAATATAAACACTAATTTTTAAAAAGTACTTTCAGATACTTTAATTTTTAATATTTTAATCTCAAATAAATAACTGTAAATAAATAAATAAATAATTTACTCAAATAAGTAAAATTGATTTATAAATTTTTGGTCAGTCTATGGATGGTTTATTTTGGAAATATAATAAATTTTTATATTAAAATTTAATTCAATTTCGATGTAAAATTTAATGAACGAACTGTAAATAATTACATTTAAGTTTGCGATTCATTACAAACAATTTTGTTTGAGTAGAAAGTTGGACTAAAAATTTAGAAATTTATTTTATTAAATAGTAATAAGTTTTTAAATTTTATCACCTGTACAATTGTTATTCTGTTAAATTATTTGCAAATGACTTTTTATATCTTATTCAAGCCTGATTAAAAACTGCTGGTATCCGGATACTTTAATGAGACAGTTAGTGGTTTTCGAAAATGTATTTAGTACAAAAATATTTGGTACATACATAGCATGATTGATTAAATTATTAATGATTAATCGTGCACTACATTAATTATAAATTGTTGCCATTATGTCTGAGTATATAATTAGGTATTAAATTCCCATGCTTGTTATATAAATATAATGATATCTAGGACTTATAAACTAACAAGGTTGTATCATAATGCACTACGGTTATTGTTAAAAATATATATCAAATATCTTATAATAATTTATCACTTTAATTCATATTGTGTGCCAACCGTAATGTACCACGGTAGTAGCTACGGTACATAATAAATTTTATCATACCGCTCAAGTATCAAGTTCATTTTAGCCTACAAAATGTTATCTTGAATAATTTGTATACAAAATATGTTATGTTATCAAATGGGAGACAAAATGATAATTCTGACCCAGGTCTATTTGCTTTATATAGCACCATAGGTTTATATAGCTTTATATAAACCACTGAAAAAGTTTGTTAAATTATATAAAATTTGTTAAATGATATTTGATTAGTATAACATTATTTTCTAAAAGTTTATTAATAATTAATAAATTTAATTAAATTATTTGAACTGACTTGGTGTGTATTATTTAACTAATAAAAATATTTAGCTTTATATAACTGTAAATAATAAAAATAAATAAATAACTTATATATTTAATAAATTAAATATATAATTATTGGGAATCTATATGTTCGGGTTTTATTTTAAAGTTTTATGTATTATAATTTATTTATATTAAAATATCATTATAATTTTTAATATAATTGTTAAGGAACATTTTTAGCATACTACTAATCAATTAAATTTTAATTTTTATCATTAATTTATTTGACTTTAAAATTTTATATTATATATTATATCACAAAAACTGTTGTCATTTGACAAAACCAAACACTTGTACTAATCATGCGTTTTGTTAATCATATGAAAAACTTCCACTAATTATAACATTTAAACTCAAAAACTCATTATCTGTTTATTAGTAGAGATAAGTAGCTGTGGTTTTCGCCGGTATTCACACAATTAATATGGTTTCCATGAATTGGAGTTTATGTGTACTTTTGGCTGTCACTCTATACCAGCCCTCCCGGGCCTTAACAGACAGACCACTGGTCGGTATATTAGCCCAGGAGTACTGGCACACGGGTTCAGTCAATCAGTCGTATATAGCGGCCAGTTATGTCAAGTTTGTGGAAAGTGCCGGCGCCCGAGTGGTATGTTTTATTAAACTGTATAATAAATTTATTTACTTTTTGATTTTAAAATTATATTTTTACATAAACTGTAAATTAAGTTTATGATTTCATTTTAATGTACCTATCACATACAATTAATAATTTTGGCCTCTATTATAAAAATTAAATAGTTTTTATTAATGAAAGTTATATTTCTATCTAATAAACAAAAATTAAATGTGACTAACAACCTGAATTATTAATAATATTTTATACGCACCCCATAATAACTATTGTTAAAATAAAATAATAATATTGCATTAATAATATAAAAAATACATTAAAACACTAATTTATAAATAACAAACTGTAACATAAATATTGAATTTAATTATTTTTATTAAAGTAGTTTATATTCAAATTATGGGTATAGGCATGAATGCGAAATAAAATATTTATTTATTTTATTATTATTTTTTCCAAAATTATATCAAAAAGTTTTATATAATTATAAGCATTTTAAAATTACAATTCTAACCATGGTAAATATTGTCTTGACATACAGGTGCCGGTTATGATCAATGAGACCGACGAGTACTACAAGACTATTGTCGACGAGACTAATGGACTACTCATACCGGGCGGGGGTCAGGACCTGCACACCAGTGGGTTCGCCAACGCGGGTCGGGCTCTATTGAAATATGCCCAGGCTAATCTCACCAGACACTACCCCATATGGTCGACGTGTCTGGGCTTTGAACTCATATCGCAGTTGATGTCCAATACGACAGCACTCGGAGACTGCGATACCGACGACGTGTCGCTGCCCTTGAATATGACCCCAGGATTTATGGACAGTCGACTGTTTTCGGGGGCCGACCCAACCATTGTTAATGTAAGTTATATTATAATGTAGTATTTTAACATATAATTCACAAAACTGTAATTTAAAACAGTAGTGGGCTAGTATTAATATTTATATAGTTTCATAATTATTTATATCGGAAGTAAAAGTTATAAATGTCTTTAAAAACTTATTTTTATAATAGATGAGACCATGCTGAACATGGTGTAGATATTTATTTTCACTGCAAACCCCCTCATGCGTACATACCCATACACCTACCCTTTCCCAATATAACATACGCTTTAATACGCTTTTGACATTACCCCTCCCCTAGGCGTGTGTACGTACTTTGTGAATGTCGCCTTAATATATATTTATTTTAATCATCTGAATAAATATAATTTATAATATTGTGATTAAATTATATTTGCAAAAATTTAATATTTATTATAATAAAAATAAATGTCCGTGCTCAGCATAGTCTACACCAATTTACAATTTACTATTAGTTATTAAAATAAAACTTATAAAACGGACAATTTGTTTTTAAACTGTAACTTAAAACATTATGCACCATATATAATGTGAATGTATCATGTTTATTACTTAATGGACTCCATTAGGGTGGCGCTTATATTTTTAAAATAATAATTAATTTAAATAACCTTGCTTATAGATATTAACCGAAGAGGCCGTAACCTATAACCACCACAAAAGGTGTCTCACATTAGAGGCCTATCAGGCATCGGATCTGAAAAACAAATTCAAGATATTGTCCACAAATACTGACGGAAAGGGAGTGGAGTTTGTGTCGACGTGGGAGTCGGTGAGCGGCGACCCACCCATATATGGCGTTCAATGGCATCCCGAGAAAAATGCCTACGAGTTCGACCCCCACAAGCATTTTGCCCATACATTCAGTGCCGTCCGTATCGGGCAATATATGGCCAACTATTTTGTCAATGAATGTCGCAAGACATGGACCCCATCTATTAGTCAAAAATCCGAAAGTAGCTTGCTTATTTATAATTATGAACCCCTGTATAGTGCCAGTAAAACGGGTAGTTACACCTATGAACAGATTTATGTGTTTAATATTACACATGCATAAATTGTTATTACCTGAAATAACTTTAAATAAATTTTGATTTATCGCGAACATTTTTTATATGATTTGTATTTTAATTAAACTAATTAAATTAAATTAATTCATTGAAACTTTTTTTATCTGTTGAAAATTATTAAACAAACTGTAATAAAATTACAAAATAATTTTTAGGATATCAATACAATTTATCGAAAAGTATCTTGATGTTATATGCTACCGTTTAATATTATTTTAATTTAATAAATATTATTAAATTCAAGTACACTATTGATAACCCAAAGGGCCGAGGTATGTTTAATTGAAATGTAATTTGTATTTAATAAGCTACTCATAAATGCTATTTAAAGCTTAATTTTAGTATTATTTTTACTATAATTGTTTGAAATTTATTTTCAAAATAATAAGTTATTTATCTAGTTTGTTTTTACTAATTTATTAAACTGTATCTAAATTTTCTAGATTTAGCAGCAAAATCTGTCATGAGTAAACCTAAAAAGCCTGTTAAAAAGGACCATGCCACTACTACAACAGAGTCCCATGATGATAGTTAATTATTTTTAAATTAATGTGAAAGTGTAAATAAAATGCTAATTTTAAGATATACCTAGTGTTTATGTTTCTTATTTACAAAAATAACTAATAAAAATAACCTTTGACACTTTTGATATTTTAAGGACATGTGTGCACATAAAATCAATTAAATCCTTTTAACTTCATATCAAAAACACATTATTTAATCATTTTTCTTATAATAAAGTTTTCGGGATATCTATTCAACTTTATCTCTAAAAATACATTTAATATGAAATAGAGAGAGAAAGAAAGAAAGAAAGAAAGAAAGAGAGAGAGAGAGAGAGAGAGTTCATTGATAACTATTTTTATCTATCACAAGTTAATGTGAATTTCATAAACACACCCAAAATTTTACTTTTATAAATAAGCCTGTTACATTATTTTTGAAAAATAATAATCAGCTAATTATTAAGATACGACCTTGATCAAAATTTAATTTATTAACTAAACATAAGTTATGTTCATAACCCTACCTAACTGTAACAAGCTCATTATTGAGCGGACCAAATACAATAAATAGGAAATAAATAATTGTTTAAATAATACAACTTATAAATTACTGCGAGATTACAAATGTTTAGCCAAAGTCTTTTGGGTATAAGTGGTAGTGCCGTTCCCCGGGAAAGGTAACCCTTAACCATAACAGTGGCCCTTATCTGGACTGACTGCGAGATTATATTATATTTAGTTTTATATTTAGTATCGTCTAGTGATTAGACAAAAACCACTCATTTTTAATCGGTTTCACACAAAATGTATACACTATTTGTGTCGAGTAAGTCACGAGCCTTTTGAATGTTTTGGACACAAAATTTATGTGTTTATTAAATGTCTTAATGAATGTTATATGAACTAGAGTGAATAACTTTTTTGTGTATTTTTTTGTTGGTGTTTATTTATATATATTTTTTAAATACGCGCCCATTTCTGGGTATAGGGTTTGTGTATATAATTTGTGTAAAAAGTTTTGTTTTAGTATAAAGTTTAAAAGTTTTTAAAAGTAAGTAATTGTGTGACAAGTTTGAGCCGGATACCCACCGGTTTTGTTATTATGGATATTAATCATACACCAAATAATAGGTTTGTTAAATTAATTTATTTTATTTTATTTTTTCTGATATGAAAAGAATTTTTAAAAAGGATATGAGTTATAAATAAATGAGCATTATGAAATTTATTGTTATCAAGCACGATCCTGTTGCAAAATCAATTTAATTGATTTGTATTGTAGTTATTAAAACATTTGATAGTAAAAGCTATTGAAAAGCATATCTTACATACTTTGATAAAGTATTGTATTTAATTATCCAGATACTTTAGTGATTTTATACTCAATTGTTAAGTTTCAAGGCATTAATTAAAATCTTTATAAAATAATTTATTAACCCTTGAGCACTTATCCATTGAATGAATTTATACTTTTATAATATATATTGCAATTTAAAAAATTATTGCAACATGTTTAATAAAATAAAAACAATATTAAAAATTTATTAAATATGATAAAATAATATTTCAGAAAACAAATTAACATTAATTTGCATTGATTTTATCAATCATGTTTGTGTACATAATTTCACTTGACTAGATAATGTAAAACATGACTTTAAAATAAATATTTAAATAATATTCAAACAAACTTCATTGATTATATTTGCGATAAATTTAATATGAATGCATTCATTTAATAATACGTTAAGTCAGTTCATTTAAAACCTGTAAATTAAAAAATATGAGCATTTAGTACATTACTCATTATGAGTATTCCTATGATTAAAGTATATTACTATTCAGTTTAATTTATATTATAAGATATAGACTTAACGTATTATTAAATGAACGCATTCATATTAATATTTTAAATCCTGTATTTGCATGATTAATGTCACAGTAAATTTTATTGAATTAGCTATACACTTTTTAATAGTTAAAAGCATTTTTTTAAAACATTTATCAAAATAAGATTTCTAAATATAAGTATGCATTTCCATATGAATGCCAGAGACTCGAAGTGACTCTTCTCTCAATTCAAATACAGACTGTATTATAAAATGTTTAAACTTAAGTCACATAGCATTTACCAAGTTCACAATGTATTAGCTATGTGACTTAAGTTTAAACACTTTACAATACAGTCTGTATTTGGATTGAGAGAAGAGTCACTTCGAGTCTCTGGCATTCATATGTCCCAAAAACAATAATCCATAAAATGTATTATTGTCTAACAAAAACATTTAAACTTAACTTACAGTTTGAATCATAAAAAATAAACAATCTATTTGACCCACATAATTATTTAATTAAGTTATTAATAGAACTTAATTACATTTTCCCACACATTAGGTATGACTACAACATTGAGTACAACGAAAATAGTTCACTATTACCCCAGAGGTCGAGGGGGTTCTCCCAATCCCTGGCCTCCACTATACAGCAGTCCATAGACTCGTCAAATATATGGAAATATAGAAATTATAACAACAATAATACAAATGACATAAAGAAGCAAGGTGCTGGCTGGATCATGGCAGCCTTTCTACTTGTAAATGCCGCATTAGGTGCAGGGTTACTTAACTACCCGGTTGCCTATGATAGATTAGGTGGGGTCGGTATATCAACAATTATCCAGTTGATCATGCTATTACTATTGGCTAGCACCATGGTCATACTGGTATATTGTGCCGATTTAAACGGGGTCAGTACGTATCACGAGGTACTGGAGTGTATGTGCGGCCATACCGTGCGTCAGACGTCGGCGCTCTCTATAATGATCACGTGTTTCGGCATTTGTGTCACGTTTTTGATTATAATCGGCGATCAATTCGATAGGATTTTTGCCACGTTTTTCGGGTCAAAATTTTGTGAGCACTGGTATTTGAACAGGGTGTTCACCATTGTGTTTACGACTGTGGTAACAGTATGGCCCATGTCCTATTTTAAAAGATTGGACTTTTTGAAACATACCAACCTGCTAGGTGAGTTTTGAGTGTTAAATTATTATGTGAATTGATTTGAGTAGCCGTTTAAAATGTAATTATATAATTTAAATAAAAATATACCAGTATACATTTGATACAAATCCATATTGTTTTAAAATATAACTATACTAATATACCGTAGTATATTATACTATATTATACAGCAATATGCTTTTATTTAAATATAATATAAAATGTTTATAATTTCATAAATAATTTTAAAAAAATTATGATTATAAAAAGTTACTAGTTTTTAATGAAAATTAAAAATTATTGTCCGAGTCAAATTAAAATAATTGAAAAAACATAATTAGCTGAATAAGCATTTTAAAATAAATTACAGTTTAAAATATTTTTTAACTTTTAAAAACTTTTTATATTTTTTAAGGAGTTTTCGCCACATTTTACGTGATATTCCTGAATGTCTACGAATACTACAGACTGGATGTGAAACCCGGACCAATCAGGACCTACCCGTCCAGTATAATGAGCTTTTTAGCCGCCCTTCCCGTCGTGTGTTTCGCGTACCAGACCCACGAGATAGTCGTTCCCGTATACGCCTGTCTGTCCCACCGGACGACCACTACGTTCATGAAGTCCACAGGACTGGCCCTATCGGTGCTGTTTGTCGTGTACTGTATATCCGGTACTTTCGGTTACTACACGTTTGGTGGGACTGTAGCCCCGGATGTCATGCAAATGTATAACGCGAGCGACCCTATCGTGAGCGCCGGTATTGTGGCACTGATTGTCAAAATGATTACTACTTACCCGCCCGTCATATTTTGCGGGAGAGACACATTTGTGGGATTATTTTGCAAACACCCTGGTAATTATATGTTTACTTATTTGAAAATAATTAAAATAAGTTTAGAATAAATTCATAATTATTTTATTATACAGACTGTAATTTATTTTTAGTTTTATTTAAAAATGTTATTTTATTATTACATTTAAAACAAATAATTATATTTATAATACATTTAATAAAAGCGAAATTTAATTTTATTTTCAATATGCTAAACATAATCAATATTAAATTGCGCATGGCAATGTCAAAATGATTTGATGTTTATAATTAACAAACATTTAATTTACCATTAGTAAAGTATTTTCATATAAAATTACTAAAATATTTTTCATGTCAATATTATACTGATATTATGCCTTGATAAAATATATCGTTTTAGATAATTACCAGATATTGTTAGTTATCAATAATTAAATGAATGAATTTTTTAATAACAATTTGTACACAAAAGTCACATTCATTTCAATAATCAATAAATAAATGGCAAAAACAGAAACAAAATATCATATGAATTATTATATTATAGACATGACCTAAAAATAAATGTTATATTATAATCACCACATAATCTCTAGATAACTGTGCCAGACAAGTTTACGATAATAAAATACACATTAATTGAATTCTTGTATTCATTAATAAATCCACAAATGTTTTCATTTTTTTCAATTCAGAGCCCATACAACTGGACGAGCCGTACGACTCGGTCGAGTACTGGCGCCGGGTGTTCATCACCAGCACGTGGAACATACTGGCCCTCATACTGGCCCTCGTCATACCCAACATCACGATAGCCATCGGTTTCTTGGGCTCATTGGCCGCGTGTAATGTATTTGTGTTTCCGGGACTCTGTATGACGGCGTTGGCTAAGCGCCGACAGTCCGAGTCGAGAGCGTTGGCACCGGTATGTCATCAGCCGTCGACCAGCTCTATCTGCAACGAGGCTACCGGTGCCATGAAATGCTGGCCCCGCGTGTTGTTTATTTATGGGGTGTTTGTCATAATAACCGGTGTTTTAATGTTTTTTGTGATTATATATCAAGTAATCAATGACTTGAGTGCAGACGTAACGCACCATCTCTTGTGTCAATGAGTTTTGCTTTAGATTTGGATTTTGTTTTGTTTTTTAGAGAAATATAAATATTTTTATTTTAGATTAAATGACATTTTTATGTCAATACTTATCTAGGCACATGTTATTTTTCTTTAATGTAAATTAATTTTTATTAATTTATCTTATTTATAAATGCAATTATTGTGTACTTATTTTGATGTGGTATATTTTTATAATGATAATAAAATTTTGTTTAAATACTGAGCTTAATGAATTAGATTTAATTTGAGATTCTTGTTCTTAATTAAACTATAAATAGATTAATAGTTGTAATTAAAAGTTATTATTGCATTTATCCACATATTAAATGTTGTATAGATATTAAAATAATTTTCTTCTTGCAGAACGAACCCAAATGTACATGCTAATCATATTTGATTTATTAACAAGTAAAATACAATATAATTTACAATTTATATAATAATTTCTTTTAATCTCTATCACCATCTCTTGTGTCAATGAGTTTGCTTTAGATTTGGATTTTGTTTTCATTTTATAGAGAAATATAAATATTATTTTTAATTAAAATGTTATTTTTTATGTCTATACTTATCTAGACAAATGTTATTCATTACTGTATAATTTATTGATTTGGCTTATTTATAAAATTAATTAATGTGTACTTTATGATGTAGAATATTAGAGATTTTTTATGTTTTAAAGTTTTATTAATTATTTGTAATTAAAATGTAAAAATTATACCTGCAAAATTTGATAAATTATAAAATTAAAATGATAAATTATATTTAAGAATAATATGTTTTATGGAATTCGCAAAATTAAAGTTAAAGTTAATTAATTAATTAAATTTGCGATATAATTTTAAAAATTAAAATGTGTTTTAAAAATAGTGTACATTTAATAAAAACATAAAAGGGTTGTTGTTGTTGTCTACCCAGTAACATTATGGCCTCAAATTATATAATGTTCAAAATAAAAACTTAAACTTCGTTTACAGTTTGAATTATAAATTCCACAATAATATAAATTTATTATACCGGTAAGATTATTTTACCCATATAATCAATTTATTAAATTATTAACAACATTACATTTAGATATTAATGCAATATTATAGTTGATAAAATCACTCTTATTTTAATATCGATCTGTATTTTTGAAAATTAGTTAATAAACTGTATGGTCACGGGGTCCCTGGGCATAAATGTAAATTTCTATTAATCCTTTTATACAGCTTTACCTGTTATATAATACTTAAAAAATATTTTTATAATTATTTATTTTTATATCGGTATATCGGTAATAAATAAACAAATTTATTACCGTGTTCATTTAAAATAATCCAAGGTAATTAAATACTATTACCATTTCACTTATTAATGGATTTTAATTAAAGGATTTTATTTATGATTTTATAGGTAATTCCCTTAGAATATGGATTTTCGAAAATAATGGTAATTAAATTAATTTAATTGTTTCATTAAATAGAAACTGTAAAATGTAATAATTGTTTACAATATAATAATAGACTTTTTGATATAATAATAATTTGATCCAATTCACTGCGAAGTCTAATTAATATTTTAAGTTTCTTATTTATAAAAATATTAATTTAAATTCATAGTTGATCTTGATAAATAAATACAACTTTACATAATATTTACGTTGTATTATAAATAGTTTCAAAAATTTCAGCTTAAAAAAATAATTTTATAAATTAGCAACATTGTCAACTGTATAAAACATTAACATCATCTGATTCCTTTAAACCACAAAATTTGAATGAATCTGAGCCAGTACCACCAATGTTATTGCAGAAATTTTCATTACCGGGCTCATCTTTACAGTCTTCATCACTTTCACATTTTTTCATGGGATCGTCTTCAGCAAACACGACAGACAATATACAAACAATAGATATGTACAGGGTTAATTTATTAAAACTCATTATTATATCTTTAAACCGACTGTTAACTTATGAGTAAAAAATGGTGAGTTATACACTGTATTAACATATGATCGTCTACAATGTACTTATAACCATACTGTTCTAAAATAGGCCAGCTGGCCTTTTTTGAGGTACATTTTTATTGGCCTATTGGAAGTCGGTTCACAAACATAGTGACTGAATAGAGTGAGTGAGTATCAAATAAAATAAAAATATTAGTTATAAACTGTAACTATGATAATTGGCAATAATTGTAACACATTTAAGGTTAAAATAATGTTATAAGTTATATTACAATAAAATAATACCATGATATTTTTCAATTACCATAATATATGTTTTTAATATATCAAATAATTTTCAAAACTAATATTTTAATTACCTTATATATAAATGATTTAAATGAATGATTATTAACTCACACCAAACAAGTTATAATATCTAATGAATAGGTTATTATAAACACAGAAAAATAGTAATGATATTTACGATTGTAAAATACTTTATCTACAGATAATCTATACGACTGAAATCAATAATGTCTCATGAATTTTAAATATTAAAAAGCGGTAGAAAACGCTGGTCTACATGCATAAAAGGGTTATCTATTTTTCAATTCAAACTGTATACAAAACATAATCATAGCATTTTTAGTATCTAATATTGTTTTTTCCTTTGAGAAATGCAATGATCATGTAATGTATACAGTTTGAATTGAAAAATAGATAACCCTTTTAAGCACCCAGTGGATCATATGGTATTCATTGACGTAATTATCCACACTATATACAGCTACAGTACTTGTTAATATAATGTCATTAGGAGAGGTCCAAATGTTGTCAAAGTTTTATTAAATATAAATAATAGTAAATAAAATAATTTAATAATTTTATAAAATAGAGACTGTAAAATGTAATAATCATTTACAATAAACTAATTGTTTTTTTGAAGTAAATAAGTTGTGGTTATGAGAAATCGTAAATTTACTAATATTTTTCATATTTTATTTACCAAGATACTGTAATATTTATTTAAATTTATAGTTGATTTATAGTTAACATATTATAAACTAATATTTTATTTTAAAAATTCTAAATCTAATTGGCATTGAATTTAGAAAAAAACACATTTGTCTACTTAATTTTACATGAATTGAGAATGCAAACATAACTTTATAATAAATACTTAACTAATACCGTATACAAAACAAACTTTATTGATTTTATTTGTGATATTTAAGAATTATAAGTTTTATGGCATTCGCAAAATTAAATTTAATGTTAATTAATTATTTAATCTTAGATACAATTTTAATAATTAAGTGTGTTTTTAAAATACTGTACATTTAATTGAAACATAAAAGGATTGTTATTCATGTTACCAATAACACAATGGCCTTAAATTAGATAATGTTTAAAACAAAACTTAAGCTTAATTTACAGTTTAAATTATAAATTCAACAAGGAACATAAATTTATTATAGGATAATTTTACTAGAAAATCAATTTTGCGAGCATTTATATTTGAACAAGGTATTCAAGATTTTACTACAATACTGCCATTTCAAAACATGTCCTATTTTAAAAGATTAAAGTTAACCTGCTAGATGAATTTAATCTGTTATATAACTACTATTATATTTAAATACAGTTAGTGCAACTGGTCACTTTATAGAAAATTTTTAATAATGAA